GGCTGTGTGCTCGCTGCTCGGCCTCAGTCTGAGTTCATCGAACGAACCCCACGGCTCGGTACTCGCTGTCCTGCTGGCACTCAGAGCACAGGGTTCGAGGTCAGTAGGGGGCGAGCGCGTGCCACGAGGCCGCCGTCAGGCAGTGAAAAGGCAACACGAGGCAGTAGGGAGGGAAGTCTGTCTCAATGATGACAACACCGGGTTCGGAGATGACGTGGCTCGTGTGTGAGCTGGGGAATTGAGAGGGAAAAGGGATCGCGCTTAAGGCTCGTTCAAGGTCCCACTCACAGACACATTTGTTTCCAGTCCGAAAGGGGAATTTTGGAGGGTTGGGGCGGGGTCGTGCGAGAAGACAGACGTTTTTCCACTCCCAGTATTCACGGAACCGTCGATGTCTCAGGCTTTCCCGATCCGTGGCGTGGAAGGGAGTCCCATCATCCATGCTATCGAAAATTTGTGACTTTAGATATGGACTCGAGCGTGGGTCTTGTAGACATGCATGTGGGCAACGCCCTTTTTGGCTGAGCCTACATGTATGTGCACGAGATCACGTTCGCAATCGGTATGATCGGATCGACTAACTATCCTTTGGTCGGAAAATCGTCTGATCAGTGGACATGCCAGCCCTACATGTGGCACTTATGCTCTCGAGTGCGCGTGTCAAGAAACAGACATTAGGAAGATAATCAGAGGGTAATCACACATTTGGATCAGTTATCCACTTATCAGCCAAGGCATATATCAGCCAGGACCGCCGAGTTTTCGTTAGACTTTCCTTTCCGCTCAAAAAGGAATGGGAAACTAACATGCATACTACGTGTGATCCGGCAGAGACAGTGTCAACAATCGGGCGATTGGCCTGCCCGGTAACTTTGTTCGTAGACGCATTTTCCTAATACTCATGCATCAATCGAACTCGAGGGCCGTGCGAATTTCCAGAAAAGCATAAACAAGAGTTCGACAAAGGTTTATGCATCAAGCCATGTAACGGAAGAAAACTACATCATCATAACCCAATCTCACTGAGGTCACGAGCAGACAATCGTCGCATCTGATCTCACCATACTGAAGTGAAACAGGAGTGAGGAGGGAAAATCAAACCGATTACTAAGAAAAACACGAACCAGGGATAGTCATGAGTAAAAGAGGGTCGACGCCACTTATCAAAACTATATAGACGAGAAAAAGAAGGACACCATCCCACACACAAGATCCGAAGGTTGGCAAATCCGTACTATGCATGAGGAGCGCATCCAACCTGAGCGCAAAATGGGGACTAGAAAGCGACGAAATTTGAATTAAGCTAGCATCCAAAGATTGCGTGAGGAGGGGTGAGGGAAGTCCGCGAGTTCGTTCCACACACACCATAAGTAGAAAATCCGAGACGATTCGCAAGGAGATCCGAAATGGCCGCAACAAGATCGACCATCAAAATTTATACAGAGGGTTAGAGGAAGGCATCGTCCCATACACACATCTCTCTCTTTCTTTCTCTCCACACCACATCACCTCCGATGTGGGCAGTCCGTCGCCTCGCACCAACACCGAGTCGTCACCCCGCTTAGTCTGAGCACGCAAGCTAAGTTCGCCTGTGCGCCACAGTCCGTCGTGGCCTGCACGTCAACCCCGCCTACCCGGCACCAGCTCATCGGGTCGCCCGACTCACTTCTGCTCATCTTCCCACTTACTCGTTAGCCGATCCTCACTGACCGCGCTAACTTCCAAATTCTTAGAGAGAAAACTAATCGCGCTTGTGAAATTTATAGCGTGCATGCTTGCGCGAGGAACCCGGGATTATGCCCAAGTGAGGGGAAGGGGAAGAGAAGGAAGTGCCTACGCCTGCATGGCCAAGCTGCGGCGTGGGGGACGCAGCCACACTCCACGCATCAATCCGGTAATTCAGTCGCTCCGGCCAATTAGAGTGGAGGACGAGGTATGCACGACAGAGGGGGAGAAGGCGGGGAAACACGAGAGAATCAAGGAGTACAGTTACGATCGCGCCTGCCAAAAAATACAGTTACACGCAGGATTAAGGGCGCGATACAGTCAGAGCCCAGTCCCCACTGCGGTGAGAGGTGCGCAAGCAAGAAGCGTGGCGCAACAAGATTTCAGACTTCCTAAATTCCTAGTCTAAATCCTATTTGCAAAAAGAAATTCCGAAAAGACAGAAAAACAATTCCGAGAGCCCGTCATCCGTTGTAAATTTGAAAAACGACATTCCCGCGTGCTAATCGCGCCAAAATTCCCATCTTCCACAGCAGAACAAGAAAAAAGCTATGGCAACTGTTATTTATCTCGCTCACTAAGGCGCGGTCACTCAATCGTCTGCGCAGGACTTTCCCGCCCCGGTCCCGAAAGCCAAAAAGAAAGAAGGAAGGGTATCCATGCAACTTGTTCAGCCGACCCATATCTATGCATTCCACCCGACCAACCAGTCCCCAACTCCCGAAGCCGCTTCACGCAGAAAGTAGTGCGATTACGGAAAACAGTTCGTCACATGCTCTTGCTGGCACGGTGTTTACCGGTAAGAGCATCATTTAGGTTCGCGTGCAACTGGTGGTTTAATCTGATATTAGGTGAGAGGTGCGGCAGGGAGGGAGGTAGCAGGCTGCCGAAGTCAGGAAGTAGGAAGCAGTGTCTCCAGTGGGGCATACAAGCTGATTAGTCAATCCTTCATTGGAAGCGGGTAAGCAGTGTTAAATTCCCTTTATTGTTTTGGAGTTGAAGTTGTGGCTTCTGTGTTTACATGGATGGGGAGCTTGACCCTATTTCCAGCAGGTGCAGCTGCCCACCAATAATCATAATAGACTTGAGCCATCAGGACTTCATCTCTGGGCTGCTCTTATGATCGACCAAGGGATGGGGGCCTATCACTGATGTCAATAAAAGGAAAACAAAAGGCTGTGTGGTCGGGCCCCTGCGTCCAGAAGAGGCAAATCGAAGGACTGCCACCCATCCCACAATTGCCCGGGCCCTTCACAAGCAAGCCACGACGATGCGCGGATTCGAGATCCTACGATGAGGACGGTTAGCACTTGGCCTACTCTTTCGCTCGAATCGATTTATTTGCCTGTACCTGTCTTTGCTGTCATCTGTTAATCGTTTATTATTGAGGGGTACTGTCGCAAATAGGCTGGGGTGGAAGCGTGTTGCAGGTTGGGGTGGAAGCATTTTGTCCTGAATCTGCCACTGAAAGTGTACATGCCCTTCGGGTACAGCCAGGTGCATAGCCTGTAATAGACTTGGCCCTTTCAAGAATTATTACCTATTTGTACATGTCATCTTGCGTTCGCAGATGTCCCCAAGAACACAGTTCCCAAAGAAAAAAGAAAAAAGAAAAAAGAAAAAAAAGAAGAAAAAAAAGAAAAAAAGAAAAGAGAAAAGAAAAGAACACAGTTCCTATCCGGGCTTTGGATTTGATGACGGTAAGGGCAACTTGACCGCAACTACCGGTAGGACATTTGTGGATGTACTTGACCGCAACTACGGGCAGTCGTGGATGTATTTGACCGCAATTATGTCCACAGATCAGTCGAAAAAAGTTTTGTAGAGCACGTGGCTGCCATCTCTGTGCTAGGGTCTCTACATTGAGAGGAGGGACGCCTCCTCTCCTCTCCTACTCCGCGCACACTGGATAGAGGTCTTGGCTGCATCTTGCGTTCATGAGACTCACAGCAGGCCAGGGGCAGGCTCCTGCTTGCCACGTATATATATATACTTGATGATATATATATCTATTTGACGATATATATCGTCACAAATAGAACTGCCATATACGGTTTTCCGGGCAGTTCTATTTGACGATATATATATATATATATATATATATATATTCAGCCTCCTGATGAGTCGGTGAAACTCCGACGAAACAGTTTGTCACAGCCCCTCGTTTGTTGTCCTCTCCTCTCTCTCTGCCTACGGTTTACCGGGCAGTTCTGTTTGTGACGATATATATAAATACACAGCCCCTCGTTTGTTGTCCTCTTCTCTCTCTCTGCCTAATGTTTACCGGGCAGTTCTGTTTGCGACGATGCAGTTCTGTTTGTGACGATATATAGTCTACAATATAGACATATTATAGACATTATTATATACCCTCGATCTTCTTTATCTACGGCTACTATCTAGGGACCTTACCCCAGCAGCAGTACGCCAACTGTGATATCTTTGATATCTTTTCCTTCTTCGTCTTCTTCTTCCTTTTTGCGGGCAACGGCCTTGAAGAAATCATCAAACGGACCAGTCCTACTGTAGGTAATTCAGAATTGTAGTATGTCACTCATTTGCTTCCATTGGTAATCGAACCCGGGTCTGTGGTTCAACAGTTAGGCGATGTACCAACTGAGCTACCAGCCAAATTGGTGAATCTCATCTTCTCTGTGAAGTAGTGAACTATACGCACCTATTCCAGGCAAACACATTTCAGGCAAACACAGCAAACAACTGGGTTCCCAAAAGGAAAAAAAGAAAAAAAAGAAGAAGAAAGAAAACAACTGGTTCTAAGGACTCGTCTAGGTTCCCGAAAAAAAAAAGAAAAAAAAAAGGTCTCGTCCAGGTCGAGGTCCCAACGACTTGGTTTCTTGTTGTTGGTTCTCAATGATTGACTGTCATTGAAACGAGGATCGACGAGGATCAAAGAAGATCAACGGTCAGGAAAAAATAAATAAAAAGAAAAGAAGAGAGGAAAAGGAAAGAAAATCCAGTCACGTGGTGCGAAGACAGAAACACACCCACACCCACCCACCCACCCACCCACACACACACACACACACACACACATACACACACACACGCACACAAACACAAAAAAATTCTTTCGAAACACGGGGCCAAGTCCCATTAGCAGCGTTGAGTTTTATCAACGCCTGAATCTGGACTTGTTTGTGGAGATGTGAGGTTGAGGAAACTCGACACCATTTCTGCACGTCTCCTCAAACACGACCAGGTTCAGGCATTGAGCAAACTCGACCCCGCTAGTGGGACTTTGCCCCCGGGTCTAGGAACACACTGGAGAAGGCGAGAAAAGAAGGCTTTTTTTTTTTTTTTTTTTTTTTCCACAAGGGGGGGGGGGTTTTCCTCGCAGTCTGAGCGCAAAGCTTCCTCGGCCGGGCGTTTTTCATCATGGTATTGAGAAGTCGGACCCCACCTCTCTTTTTCGAAGCGCAAGCGGAGGCCACGGCATAAGGTGCGCACGAGCCCGTTCTGATCGGACCGATTTTTTTCTTTTTTTCTTTTTCCCGTTATGTTCAAAAGTTAACGAGGAAAATTTGAAAGGGAATTCGAAAAAAAAGATTGCTTGGAAGTTGGAAGCTGGAAGTATGAACTGCGAAAGTACGTTGGCTAATTGGTATGCACATCGAACTGTTGATAAACTGATCAAGAGTTTCAATACAGCAATGTTTCCCTTTCACCCCCCCCCCCAAAAAAAAGACGAAAAAGAAAAAGAAATCCCTGCTGTAACATTTCCCCTCCGCGCTCTGTGTGTGTGTGTGTGTGTGTGTGTGTGTGTGTG